TAAAAAAATGCATTATAAGCAGATTAGGAAAATCAGACTCACTGTTGTAGCTTCTCTGCAAATATGTACTGGGTGAAGTCCTCCACTGATGGAGCAAAGTACATGCTGTCTTGCACATTAATACCTTTTGCTTTAACATGTTCAGAGCTGTTAAACCTTAACACGTAAAAGGGATGTTGAACAGGACCAAACACCTCAAATACCTGAAACACAAAATTTAAGTAAATGACCACGTTAGACGCTCACCTCACTGTACACAAGTCCAAATCTTTAAGACACTTTGTATTTAGGAATTTGGAGGTGTTTTTAAATTGCAGCAAATGAAGTTACCTTCATGTCATACCCTTATTACTGCTCTTTTTTTGGCAATGTGTTTCCCTAGCTACTCTAAGTCATAAGTTTTTTCATGTTGATTTCACTTTCATCCATTCAAATGCACTGCCTTCAATGTCAACTTCCTTTACTTCAGTCATCATTACCTTTGGTAGTCCCCTGATTTTCTCTCTCTATTTTGCTTTCAAATCTGAACAGCTCAATAATCTCTTATTGCTTATTTCTAAAATTTCCTCTCTACAAGATGCCTTTCTGTTAGTTCCAGTGTCCATTCTGTCACTCCACGAAGAGAATTCTGATTGATACTGCATTGAACACCTGCAGTTTCATGCTATATTTTTCTGTATTCCACTCAAATCTAGCACAGACAGATGTTATGGCTGTGTTAGTTCCACATGATGGCTTTCTTTCTACAGAAAATATACAAAATTCAAAGCAACACTGTTCCCTGCAAACATCCTTCATCACAGTCACATAAAGCACATGTGGGCCTAAGACTACAACATCAGAGCACAGCTACGCAGACATTCCCCACATTTCCTGTAAGTCAACAGAAATTCTCCTGGCAATAAAAGAACACAGCTTATTATTGAAGATATCTAATACCTGAAAGCAACCACATGCACATTCATCAAATAGCAGAAATTCAACACACTAATTCCAGAGGGATGCAATTAATTCCAAGATGGAATTCTTGAAATTAAGAAACCTAAATGATGCTAACAAGAGTCAAAACCACAAGGAAAAGTTGCGTATCAAGGAAGCATTACATTTAGATGACTTGGACAGTATATTATATCGAAACATAATAGCTTGAATTTAACACTAGAATAAAAGGTCATCATGCTTTACACACACATACCTTTCCTGCTGCTTGTCGATCTTCTTTAAAAATAATGCTTTCCTCATTTATTGGAGGTAGGCCTCTCAGAGATTCAACTATTACTAAAATAGAAAACAAAACCAAATAGAACTTTAAGTTGCAACAGCAGTATGAGTTAACTGCAGGGAAATAAAACAAATCACACAATAATTTACAAAGCAAACACACAGAATCAGCAAATGGCCTGGGCTGAAAAGGACCACAGTGCTCATTTAGTTCCAACCCCCTGCTGTGTGCAGGGTCACCAACCCCCAGACCAGGCTGCCCAGAGCCACATCCAGCCTGGCCTTGAATGCCTCCAGGGATAGGGCACCCAAAACCACCCGTTCCAGTGTGTCACCACCTTCTGTGTGAAAAACATCTGCGCTTTTCCTAGAAATTCTCGTCCACACACTGAAATACTTACAATCATTAAGTCCTTCCCCTGTGATGACGTGACAAAGTTTGCAGAATTACTGCTCTCAAGAGATGAAGAGACTTCCTTTTTGCACCTAACACTTACGTAAAATAGTGTTGCAGTTCCCCAGGTTGTTTCTTAACTGAGTGCACAGCAATTTTTTCTACCTTAAATTGTACATACATGTAAGTTTTCTTCTGCCCTCTTAGTGTTCCACAATAAATTTTCCCCAGAAAAGAGAATAGAGATAGCTATTTATCCTCTTAGTAACTAACAGAAAGCAGGCAAGAACACAAAAGATGCCTAGCAGACCAGTCACAGTAGCATTATTTACATGTGCAGGCACACAGTTTGAAACTTCTGCACTTCCAGGTCACATAATAGATCCATACTACATTTGGGCCCAATTCATGATAAATGAGGGTATAAGCAGCCAGATAGTGCAGGATTGTTTCAGTACCTCCAAAAATGAAACATCTGCAAGACTTGAACACTTACAAAAAGACACAGAAGTAAACACTTCATGTATTAAATAATTTGATATATAGGCTATGAATGAATTTCATTTTTCTGTTTTCCAGACTCAAAGGGCCCATTCTTTAAAGAAACTTTTAGAATCATTTACTCTCACCTGTTTTCTCCTTATTTCTATTGCATTAGGCAACAAAAATATTCAGCCTTGACTTTCAGCAGGAACTAAACTTAAAGACGTCAAGAGAAACAGCAGCATTAAACTCAATTCTGATTCTGAAGGTAATCTTCTCCACCCTAAAACATAATGCTCAATTAAGCATTATCCATGCCTCTCAATCAAAGTCATTCAAGTACTGTCAACATAAGACTTTATCAAAAGCTAATAAAATTCTCTCTTCTAAACTTACATAATAGAATTTACAAGAATTAAATGCTTCTCCAAGCTATGCTCTTCAAGTTTTGCTCTAATTTAAGTTTGCAGACATCTTGTGATGTGCCAAGCAACAGTGCTACACACTTAATAGTTCAGTGAATTTAGGCAGCGAGGGAAATACACAGTGGAAGAACTGAATGTGTAGCTTAATCCCCAGTGGGAATATACCTGAGCAATAGTTCAGCAACACAGACTCATAGAATTGTTTGGGTTGGAAGGCCCTTTAAGATCACCTAGTTCCAAACCTCTGCTATAGGCAGGGTCATCTCCCACTAGACCAGGTTGCTCATAGCCCCATCCAGCCTGGCCTTGAATGCTTCCAGGGAGAAAGCATCCTAAACCTCACTGGGCAACCTGCTCCAGTGTCTCAGCACCCTCACAGTAAGGCATTTCTTCTCAATATCTATTTAAAATACATCTTCTTCCAGTTCAAACCTATTTCCCCTTTTATTACCCGTACTTGCAAGAAGTTTCTCCCCAACTTTCCTAACTATTGTTTCAGCAGAAAGCCATCTTTACTATGAATGAGAAAGAACAAGTAGAAAAACAGGACAATCAATGAAGAAACCACCACCTTCAGCCAGCTTCTAGTACATGAATGAGATTAATCCTAAACCAGTGCAGCACAAAATTGTTGTCAAGGAACTGCTTGTATTACCTAGAGTCTTTTATGATAAAAGGAATTTTAACAGCAAACGTTATTTACTTGAATTTGTTTGTTTCCTACTCAATATAAATGCACTGTTTTTAAACTCACTTCATAAGCAAATTGCTTTAAAAGCAATTCAAACAGCACAGAACACTTAAAATAAGTTTAAGTCAAATACAATATAGAAGTTTTAACAAAATCAACTTTTGCAAATCTTATTTCACATGCCAAATAAAGGCCATCCAGCTGAAAGTACTCAACACAAATGCCATCCAGTATCTTGTCTTTACATCTGTTCTCATTCAGAAATCTGCTGCCCCTTACCTGAATAAGGGCATAGAATCAACAGAAAGGTTTAGCAGTGCTGTGAAGCACAATGCAGCTGTGCTGAAACTTTGGGGTAAGGGTTCACAAACAACTTATGTAAAGATATATTAGAAATATTTTAATTATTAAGAAAAAAAAAAAAACATTTATTTCAACATATCTTGCCTACCTAGCTGCTCAATGATACTGGAAACTGTCCCAAAACGCTTCAGTTCAACATTATCAGGCAGAATTATGGTTAAATCTTCAACAGGAGGCAGTTCCTGAAAATATCAAGTCATTATTCAGTATAAAGCCACACATTCACCACTGAAATAGAGAAAGAGAACACATTTTAAACTATTAACCACATACTGTATGCCTGAACTAGTGCACAAGTGTGCATTTAATCACTGTCGGTTTATTCCTAACAATTTAAAAAAATGTAAGTTACTTGAAGTTGAGTTACTAGATTAGCGTTTAAAAAGACACCACTTCTTACTTACATCAAGGGGCAACTCATCTTTTGTTCTAACGCAGTACGTTCTGTTATCCTTCTCATTTGGGTGATCATCGTCATCAGACGCTGCCGAAAGAGAACACGAAGAGGACGATGTAGTTGACGAACTATCCGAATCTGTGTCACTGAATAAAAGAAAGAAAAGGAGTTAAAATACAGACCCCCACGTTAACATGCTGCTAGATTACGCTTTGTGCAACTCGCTTTGGACAGCACACGTTTTCTTAAATACATCCAGCACACAGAAGAGATCTTCCCCTCATCCTAACAAAGCCACCGGACGAGACCATAGAAAAGCATCGCCCGGTCCAAACTCACGTCTCCGCGTCCGAGGTGGCGGCGTGCGGCTCGCTGCGAGCCTCCGCGGGCGGCGGCGTGCAAAGGCGCGCCCCCTCAGCCGAAGGCGCCCCCTCAGCCGAAGGCGCCCCCTCA